TCTAAAGTGGCTTTAGATGTGTCCTTCAGTCACATAACTTAGAAATTAGAAAGGCTTCCTCTTACAGTACTTTTATTCACTATGCAACATAGAATTCATTGTAACAGCTTCAGATGCCTGAGTCAGTCCCCAAATGCTCTATCTAAAAACCCAGTAGAATGCACCTTGCAATTTGTGGGACCAACAGTGGACACATTTCTTAGAAAGGCCTGGTCATCTGGCACTAAATCCTCAACAAATCCTCTACTGAGAGATAAGGTGGGATTTATCGTCCATCAAAAATCTGTTTTATATATAATGCTTTGTTTAATTCAAAGAGAAAATAGGCTCTGGAAATCAACAGCAGTTCCAGATACTAAATTAATGATTAATTTGGTCCTGGACATTCAAATGAGAATTATTGCTTTGTTCAGAAAGGCTTTGTATTTGCTTAGTCTTACCCATTTCTAGATACTCACTGCCAGATATTTCCCTTTTAACAGCAAGGCCAGATTTTGGTGGTTCCTCTACTACATGCACAATAGCTCAAAGTTGCTTTCATTGTAATTGCTGTCCAATTGATTGATGACACTGGATTAAAAGCTATAGAGGAAATGTAATGGGTTTGGACCATGTCATATATTATCTCATTTTCTTCTGGTATGAGAATCCAAAATAAACTCAGGCATCTTGCATGATCTGAAAAGTTCTCAAGAGTGATCTTTGATCTACTTTTTCTGTAAATCAAAAAGATTTCTTATTCTGATAACTAGTGGGGTTTTTTTCTTTTTCAGATATAGTGAATATAATTTATGTTCCTTTACCACACAAGTAAAATCCTTTAAATTCTCCCTCCACAGACCAATCTGATTACGCAAAAGAACACTGCCTGGTACCATAATGGCACGGGAGAGAAACTAAAACAGGTGGATGCCCCACAGCAGTGCTCACAGCAAAGCAAGTAAGAACAGTAATACTGCAGCAGCACATCTGCTGTTGACTTTACCATAACATAACCTTTCCAATGCTATCTTCAGATCTACACTCGTGTCTAGCTCCCCTGCAACTTAGTTTGCACTCTTCTATATTTCTTTATGTGCTTCCTGAGGTGGGGTTTTCTCCTGAAGAGCTGTGGTAGTGCCAGCCTGCAGCCCCTGGAGGGGCAGTGGGCAGCGTGTCCCTCACTGATGGCTGCAGAGCACAGTGGCAGCAGGAGGCAGAGGCTTTTTATCCTTATGCCTTGTCATTATCTTTCTGTGTATTATTTCTATACATCTGTATATATAGATATATTACAACTGTAAATATACACAACATATATATTTACATGATCTGGCTATACTTCTTGCATGCAGTTTCATGAGAAATTCATTTGGAGCAATATAATTCACCCTCAATACATAAAATAAAGTGGTCATAATATTATATGGGACCTTTACAGTTGATTAATCTTTTCAGTGAAGTATAAAATAAGTTGCCTACTACAAATTCCTTTAAATGGAAGATAATGCCCTAAAATACAGGTATATGAAGACTTTCCTCAAACCCCATCCTTTCTCAAGCTGAGAGCCTAACCTGATAATTTGCCCCTGCAAACACTGGCCACTGCAGACTACACAGTATTGTTTTGCAATATTTTGTACTTTATTGTGAATTAGATGTTAAGGGTCAAAGAAATTAAGATCAGAGTACCAATTAATCTAGGACATCAATCATTGTTAACTTTTCTAATTTTAAAATTAACCTGAATATTCAATCTGTCAACCCTTTGGAATATCCAATCTTTATGTTCAATCCTAGCAATTTTTTCTTTTTGTTTAAAGAAAGGTTTATTATCAGGAAGTATGTCACTGAACCATTAATGTAATCAATTCCATTTTATTTTAAAACCATTCTTGTACTTGACTTTACAAAATTAGATATGATTAGATAATTATTATAGTTTGGTTAGACTATTCACAGTACTACCAGTAAAGTGAAACAATGTTATTCTGCAAAACCTTATCTTGGGGTCCAGGCTAGAGACATGGCAAGAAAACTGAGGAATGATAAGGCACAAACCCTTTATCTCTGTATTGCTGGTTCCATTTCAGCTGATATTAATAGCAGCTGAATAATTATCACAGGGACAAGCAGTGCTGACTGCAAGTGAATGAAAGTGCAGTCTCAAAATTTCCAGATACAGAAATTCCTGTGCTAAGGCTGCTGCTGTCTGTGACACCAACTTGAACTTCCAGAGCATGGAAGAATGCCATAGCCAGGACCAGTACACCTTGCTGTACCTAACTGGGTTCTCTTCCCAGTCAGCAATGGAATGAGACAGCCAGGGAATGTGAAGTCTGTTCAATGCTGTGCTCTAGAAGAGAAGGCAATTTACTGCTTTGAGCTAAAAACCTCAAAACTGGGCAGCAACCAAAATTAATGACTTGTACCTCACATACTGAAATGCTAGTTAAACTTGGTCTTGTAAGCAGGTAAGCATAATTTCAGGAAGTATATAATCACATTTTATTGTAAAGCATGGTTTCTGAATATGGAAATGTACAACCAGCTGGGGTACCTGACTTCCCAGCAGATCAAATCATGCTAGTGTTTGAAAAATAAAAAGAAGCATTGGAAAACATCAAAGCATGGAATCAACTGTATGAAAATCCAAAGAATTGTTTTTGCTTTGCCTCAGAAGGTTATAGAAAGATGCAAAGTATAAAATGCCGAATTTTAAAATAAGTGAACTTTATAACTTGTGCAAGTTAGGGTAGACTGCTACTAAATACAGGCCTTTCAGGTTGATCCTGTTCTCTAGGAACACCATCATATCTTTTGAGCAAAGTTCCCAGTCTTCCTTCTACCATTTGTTTATTTTTTGAGTGGTATCAAGGCTGACAGATGACTACTTATTGTTGGCAAATCTTCAGCAAAATAATAAACTTCAACAAAAAACTCAAATGAATTCTGCAGTTTGGTTAGGTTAAGAAATTATTGATAAGCTATGTTTAAGAAATGCTGTTTCTAGTTCAAGAAATGTTAAATACAGGAAAAGATACAGTGTCTCAGACTGTCAGTTGGCTCACTACTGGAAATCAATACTCTGAAGAGTTCAGACATCATTAAAGGTGAGAATAATACAACACAGTCATGCTCCTTTCCCCTTCTTTTTCTCCTGTCTATATCAAATCAGAAATCAGGGAAGAATATGACCTCACAGGTAACCTACTTTCCCCTTCTGCCAATGCAGACTCTGTCTGCATGATACCACCCATTTCTGAGAGCTTCTCAAAGCCTGTTTTTAAAACATTCTGATGGTTTTTCCTTTGTTAATTTTGATATATTATTTTACAGTCTAACAGCTCCCTGTAAGGTTTTCCTGATAGTCAGCCTGAAGCTCTCTCTCATAATTCATTCTCTTAACTGTAAATTTCTTTATTCAGATTCAGTTCTATTTATGCCACACCAGACTGAATCATTCTTCTGTTATTATAATATTACATTTAGAGCTAAAATATAATTTTTTCTTCCAATTATTTATCTTACTGAAAGGCAAAATCTTAAACCGATGTGAATACCTACATTACAAATTATTTTTGCCCCAAAATATCTGTTTGCAAATTTCTGAAGTTTAATTTATTTTATTCTCTCTTTGTTTTCATAAGTCTTCATAAATGAAACAGTGTATTTTTGCTTTCCTTGATATTTATACAGCCTACTTATTCATTACTACCCCTGAAGTTTATTAGGGATGCCTGCTTTTTCTTCTAGACTACTAAAGATATTAAGAAAACACACTATGCAAAAAATATTGCAATAGGACAATCTGTCCTCTTTGTAATTTTAATACCTTGACTTTATTTGGCTTATTTTTCCTCCCTTATAGGTAACTCATACCTATAAAGTGTATTTAAGTAAGATTTGTAGAATTACATTTACCATCCTTATATAAGTTATTAGTAAGTAGCTCAACTCTTCTCTTGGGAGTATATTATGTTGCAGCACTTTTTCATTTTACAGTAACATCAAATTAGACTTTAGTGTTAAGTATTGCAGTTAGGACCTCACATTTACAGAGTCACCTTTTCCTTCCCTTTCTCTATTTTCTATTGACTTGCTAAAATCCACAATTGCATTTGGAAATTCACACCTATACTTTTTTTTTCATTTAAGGCAAAGCCAATCTTACTTTAAATCGCTGCAAAAAAAAATTAAAAAGTGTCATTTTCTCTGTCCCTGCAACAGCACATATGGCTTGCCAACTCCTTAAGGAATGATGAAAATGTCTAGAATTCCAGGCAATAAAGGCAAGATTCTTCTTCAAAACAATGGTCATTTCACCATTACTCATGGTTCACACTGATTGCACACTCTGTGTTGACCCAGACTGACTACAGAGGCTATAAATAGTTTGGATTCAGCACTGCACAAACACATGGATAAGGCCACATCCAAAGCCACACCTGGCCCAACAAGCCCCCCTGGAATGGGGGTATACAGTTCACAAGCAGCTGACTGGATATGAAGCAGCTTCATGGAAAAGGGAATACCTGGGCTGACTGTACACAGACAATTTATCATGCTCATGGCTTTCATTTTAACATGCCCCTTCCCCTGTCTTACCATAATCCAAAACCCTATAACACAACAGGGAAAAGTTCACTGATGTTAAACTAGTGATAAAATTAAGTAAATAAACCACTCAATGCTAATATTATTTTGTGTCCTATTATCCCATGTGTTCTCACAGGCAAGCTCCAAGTACACTCTGTACTTGATTCAGGAAGTATGGGAGTCCTCATCAGGTTCTGTAATATGTAGCTGAATGGACATTTTCTGCACTGGAAATGCCAATGTCACAACTGCAACAGTGGGGTGGCATTTACTGTAATGCTGCAAAACAAGTAAGTTCTAAGAGGTAAGTACTCCTTTTTAGTCCCATTCCTCTAATCCAAAATTTAAGGGGAAAAATTTCCTAATAGAGCGAAACAAAAACCCCAAGGAATTAAAATAAATAGTGCTTTGCAAACACTTACAGTCCATAAATCTGTGGAGCAATTTCCAGTCGGTTCAGATGCATGTACAGCTCAATATCATGTTTCTTCAGCAGATGATCCTGAATTTGATTTACTTTTGCTACAATAGCAATAGATGGCCCCAAATCCTGTGGCCTTGCAAAGGGCATAGGTGTTACCATCACATCTTTCTCCTGCAGACACAGAAAACAGGGTGAAAAAAAGAACAACCCATGAAGCCTTACTGTGTAAAGGGGTTGTGTGCAGATTTTGTTTGTTGTAAACGTTGGCTTCCAAATAAACACAGTAATAACTCATTTCTTTTACAGCAGAAGAGGAATCTCAAGTATCCACTTCTGCAGAAGGTACTGTGGGATTCCCCTTCCCAGGAGTGCCAAGGAGTGCCCGTCATTCTGCACATCAAATTTTACGTGCATGCTTTACTTTTCATGCTCTGACAAAGTGTTGACAGCTTTATTTTAGCTTTAATATCAGCAGTCTGAGTCAGTCCAGAATAAAGCAGATGAATGGTAACTCAGTAGAGAATATATGCCCTCAGAGGACAATAAATTGCATACCAAATAGGAAGTAACTTATTTTCAAACAATCCTTTCTAAACAGGCTTCCCTTGCACAGAAAATATGGCTTTACCTTAAAACCTACACAGCTTTGATAAAGCATCAGAAACTTTTAAAGGAAAAAAGAAATAAAACAATGAGACAGCAGTTGGTTGGACCTGAGGGCTGTGCAAACTATACCATGATCTACAACACACATCAAGTCAAAATCAGTGGAGTATTAGCATCCTGGAACATGATACTGCAATAAATTCATTCTTCTTGCAAAAGAGTGAACTACTATTGAAAAAGAGACAAAATGCTAGAAAGGAATGCAGCAAGTAATGAACTGCACTGAATAGGAAACATGTAAAAAGGAGAATGAAAAATAAAAAAGGATGAGTTAAACCTAGCGAGAGAAACCTGGGGGGCAGGGAAATACAGAATTAAATAGAAAATTGTTAGGAACAATGTTAAGGTTATAAAACATGGAAAACTGGAATAGTAAGAAGAGAAGAATTTTCCAATGACTTTGCTACAATTTCTCATCATGACCTCTGACTCAAAAGCTTCACTTTGAAAAACAATTGCTGTTTTTCTACACTTTTGCTCACTACACTAATAGAGAAGCATTTTCTAGCTCAAAGGGTTAATAATTTCAGGAGACTTCATTGCACTTTACATTGTTTAAATACAAATTCACTTGTTTCAATACTGTGAAAACAGCATTATTTTCAACATTCAATAACAAATAAAGATTGTTTTTGTTGTATAAGCTATTCCAAATGTAGTTTCCTGTAGTTATTTTCACTTATTTTCAGTTTCAGTTATTTTATTTATTATCACTTTAAACATGGTTTAACATTCAAATGGGCAGCAAACATTTAATAATGTCTACCAAAAAGTCTATTTTTTGTGTTGATCTTCTTTGCTTGAAGTACCTTTTCTTAATTACTTGATTTCTGTACTGCAGAAAATATGGTAGGATGTTGAGCAGTGATTTCAGGTAATATGTTTCTATTTAAGGACCTGATTGATTAAAAATTGTGTCCTAAAATCTGCTTAATTGTTGCTTTGCTATGGCAATTGCAGAGAAGGGACTGATCTGTCTATTATAGTGTGGTAGTTTAACCATGGTATTGTGGTACCAAGACATATTAGTTTAAGATACTCCAGCAAATCACTTGACAAAAGCTCCCTCAGACTGCCAAATAAGGCTCACTGACATGGCATGTATTTATTCAAAATCTTTGCTATTCTATCAAATACGAATTTAAAATAAAACATCTACTGTCTCAGAGGCCAATAAGCAATCCTGGTACTTAGTTAAAGACCAAAGTTCTTCACAGCAGCAGGTAGATTGAGAAAGGATATTTCTCCTACCTTATTTTTTAAATTATTCTATTAAATTCTTTCTTACCAAGCTGGGCAGCCATCTTTGTACCCTGAATTTTATTTCTGCATTGTATGGCTATGTCCTATAATTTCACACCCATTTCACAATATTGGTCATATACAAGAATGCAAAATATTGAAAATAGGTATCCACAAATCTTCTTCTATACAGAAAACCACTCTTAAAGCATGATATGGTAATACTGCCTAAATGTTAAATATAAGTCTGTAATATTTTTTTTCAGAAACACGGATTTATCTTTGAAACCAATCCTAAAAGTCTGTAATGTATTTGTATGTATTTGTAGACTGTGCACGCTGTATCATTTGGCACACATCTGGGGTATGAACTTTATTGTGATTTATTCAAATTGACTTTAACTTCAGCTTGACCACTTCATGGATTCATAACTCTGATGACTCAGACCTGTGTTTTTAAGCTTTTCTTTATTATAGGCATAAAACCTTATATGGAAAGCTCAACATCAGAATCCCTCTGCTTATTTGAACTTGTAATATGAAAAGACTAGCTATTACTCAGTTTAGTCTTTACACCATTAGTTGTCTGTGGATTTCAAGCCATCTTTACAAAATTACAAGACAGATTATTAAACCCTGGCTCAAGTGACTAAAGACTGTGAATATCAAAACTAATGCAAGCTTTCTCTGTGCCAAAATTGGAGTTATTTGTCACTTGCAGCATTTGTGCACCTTGGCATAATGCAGCACTGACACATTGCTGACTGTCAGACTGACTGACTATCAAACATGGCTAAGTGCATCCAATAGTATATGCTGGCTTGCCATTTCTAAAAGCATGAGATAAGTAAATGGTATTCATCAAAATGCAGTTTATCAGCATCTCAGAAATTAACCCTATTAACAGAAATCTTCAAGGCATGACAGAATCTGTGAGGAAGCAGCTGCAGCCAATAACAAAGCCTTGCCTATCCATGCCTCCAGATTCGGTGTACTCCACCAAGAAGCTCAGTGGATGACTAGAGTGCAACAAAGTCGTGTCTGTTGCCTTCCTCTCATGCAATTTGGTTGAGAAAATGACAATACCTCTAGTCAGTTGAAATTGCTCCAAAAATCACATAGCTGGTGTGAAACAAACAGCCCAAACAGAAAGATGCTCAAATAAACTAATAAAACCAAGCCGCCAAAATGTTTAACTAGAAATGACTCACAGTGCCTGTGCCTAAAGCCAAGTGGACAACACAATACTGTGCCCCTGCTCATACTCACCACATAATTATTTGCCACGTGAGAGAAAACACCCATTTTCTTTTTGTGAGCCTTCAGGTCTTGCAAAAAAATGTGAGTGCATGTGTTTAGTCATCTATTACTAACATGAAATATAAATGATCAATACTAAAAGGATGTAGTTCGCAATAAAAAGAAAAAATGATTGATGGCTCAGAATGTGCTATATATTGTTTATAGGAGAGCACCAGATTCACTTATTTAAGACCAGTTTAAATATGAATACCAGCGAAATGCACCTGAAAACTTTAGCTAAGTATTTGGAACAGAGTCACCAAGTCCTGCCACAAAACATTACCTACCACAACACGAACTGGAATGGCTGGTAGGCGATGCTAACACAATTTATGTGTTCACGCATTTAGGAAACAAATGCTACAGCAGTAAAGAGAGGCTAGGACATAGTACAAGTATAAACTGAGGACAGATTTCTCTCATTAACCACTAGGGAATGGATTAGCTGGAGAAGCTCCTCTAATAGCAATTGGGAGAAATGGAAACAACTGTTAGAGGCTGTAAAATGTAACATGTCTCTCAGAGCACACACTTTTATTGCTTTCTTTGTGAAGATTCACACTTTACTACGCAGCTAACTCCCAAAGTCATGATTGTAAAAGGCGTATGTACAAGAAAGGATTATTAAAGATTATACATGTTTGCAAAGAACAAGAACAAACAACTAGATATTAATCCATTCTCTTTGCACTGTTAATTTTTTATGCCATGAAAGGACTGGAAAGGGCAATGTAAACTTTCACCTTCTACCCAAGCACTGCAAATCTGTAAGCAGACCTAGTTATTTCCTGGAATGAAATCCCACCTCAGACTTTGCCACCTCTGTCACAGAAATTGGAACAAATACATCTGAATACACTGAATTTTGAAAAGCTACACTCAAAGAAACATATCTCACAGCCTTGTTATTGAAATAAAAGTGCCTATGTAGTAACTTCATAAAATTTGTATCTCATATGCTTTATCCCTAGCTACTGAAATTATATAAAAATCCAAATAATTTATAACTGCAGATAGTTTAGGCTAAGACGCCAATGCTCTGGATCTGATAAAATATATAATAGTTTAAATATTTAAAGGAAATAGATGGTTTTAAATGAGTCTTTGGTGAACAACTTTTTCTTCATTAGACTGACAAAATCACCATTCAAACTAATACTCCCTAATTACAGTTTGCAACTACAGGTTTAGGTGCACACATATGGACATCCACAACCAACCAAATTCTCATTAGAGTTTGTTAACTCTAGGTATTTCCCCCATGTTCCATGTGAAAAATGCTGAAGTGAATCAAACTGAAACTAAGTTTGGAGGCCAACTCTTTCAGGATACAATACATTGAAAGTCTTGGCAATAACCATAATACTGTTAATAATATTTTGCTAGAGCCTCCATATATATGCTCCATCACACAAATAATTTTCCAGAAATTAAAAAAAAAAAAAAAAAAAAAGAAACATAAAGATGGAAAGACACAAGAAAATAAGTAGTCAAATGAAATCTTGAGCAACTGACTGAGGGAATTGTCCTTCCTGCCACGCATGAAAACATTCAGGCAAGGACCAGACGGTCTCCCTGCAAAGGAGAGTTCTATAGAACTAAACTCAGAACACTGCAAAAGCTTTTTTATGAAAGCTACAACATACTAAATTCAGTAGCATCCGTACAGATACACAAGAGATCTGAAGGCACACACATTCTCTCTGTTTGAATATCCTGAGTATAAGAAGAAAAAATTGAAGGAAATAGAGTGATTTTGTCAGGGAAAGATATACCTTGACCTTTGACAGACAGTCTATAGTTAAAGTCTTGGTTTCACAGCAAATTGTTTGTAAATAGCTGAAAATAATTAACACCTTAAGACTTTATCTATAGGCATTTATTTAACATGATATTTGCATAGGTTTTGGGTATACAGAAGTGCCTGTGACAGGCACTCTTTCAAATGTTATGCAAGGACATCACTTATATACAGAAAAATACGTGCTTGTACACTTGGCTTTTGATTACCAAGTGATCTTTCAACACATAGGAACTCTCACCTGGAGACATTCCACAAGTGCTTACGACCAAATTCTGAAGAATTTTTAAGGATTGTTAACTTGTTTGAGACAACTTTAACCAAGTTAAGAGATGTCTAGTTAGATTCAAATAACATCAGTCATATTTAAATCACATTTGCTTAAAAACACAGTAAGTACATTTTAAAGCAGTATTTACCTTCTGACTGTCATGTTCAAAAGTTGAAAACCAATGCTCTGCTGTTTTCATAAGACGTGTGAACATTGCACTGAAAGGGAGCAACCCAGAGACTTGGTGTTAAATAATGGTGTCAATTACAAATAAGAGCAAATTGAATGTAAAGAAACTTGTTAAAACTTACTAGGCATCATGTTCCAGATATTCAGGATTCAAAAGAACTTTCATTTCCTCACTGAAAAAGGCAACAGTGAACAATCCAAATGTGAGTGTTTATTTTTGGTCAGCATTCTGCATGTACTATTATGTGTTTATAAGCCAACTTTCATATAAAGTGCAAATGAGAAAACTAGCCTTTTTAATTAAAAAGAGCAACTCCATTGAACAAATGAAGTCTTTCCTTTTTATAAAGATCAAAAACAAATTAGCTGCCTTGTCTGCACTACAATGAAGTAACCATCTAATTATTCCAAATAACAAATTACTGAATGTCACAATGTATTATTTGAATATGCTTGATCTAGAATAATTGATTGCTGCACAATCTATCACTGTTTATCCCAAACAAACAAAAAAAATATGGTTACTGGTCAAATATGCAGTATCAAAACATTAATTTATTTTGTTTTAATAGCCTGTATTTTTATTGTACTTTAACAGCAATTAATCAGTGACAGCACCTCTTTTCCATCTACTTTGCTGCTTAGCTTTACTTTTTCAGTGGGCATGGAACAGAATGCTGTACATAACACATGGTTATTTTAGGTTGCTTAGCGCTGAAGAGCATCTTCTAGGTAATTTTAGGATATCTAAGGACAGACACTGAATAAAAACACACACTTGTAAATAATCATCATAATGCTTAACTGCCTTTGGGCAGTCACATTGAGGGATACCTACAGAGGTTATATTATATTGTACACATAATTAAATTCATTTTTATTCACTGCTTGACTCCAGTGTGCAAAAAACCAAATGAAATGTCCTAAATATCACAAGAATGAAACTAGGTTCTTTTTTTATTTTTTAGTAAAAGCAAAAGCCTTACATATGGGACAAGAATAAAAGCAGACAACTATATGATGCAATATTTTATATGTATGAGTATGACTCCATCATACACCCATACACACTTTTGAATGAAATGGGGGATCAATACCTAAACATAGTGCTACTAAGTCAAAGAATAATTGGATATCACAGCTACAACACTGAAGGTGATGAAAGAGATATCAATCCCAACAATTTGTCTTCAGTGATTATTTCCCCTTTTAAGATATGAGGAAAGTGGTTAAGATGTCTACTCTATGAGTGGAGCTCACTAATCTGTCTACCCTCTGCAGTGACATAAACAAGACCATTTCTGGAAAAAAGGATGAGGTGGAACTGCAGGTAGGTAGGTAAGCTTTGAGATTAAGGTTTTCCTTAGATTTCTTTTTCATTTTTTCACCAGCCATTATCTGTGAAGGGTCTAATCTCAGGAGCTGCAGTAGGAAAGATGACATAAGGACATTCTCATCAAAGCACAAGGATGCAATGATTTCTGATATTAATTTATGAATGATATACAAATAATTATGGAGCACATATTTACAAGCTATAGTTCAGCCAACTTATTTTTAAAAGAAAGCGGATTCTTATACAAATAAAATGCAATGCTTGCCTGGGTTGTGCAGCTTCACTGGCATGTGAAAAAGCCTGGTGGTCACAATGTAGGATAAAGACAATGGGAGCTAGAAGTTCATGCATGCCCTAAACATAAAAAGAAAAGCAAAAGTATATTTAGATTTTCTAGTCATATAATAGTTCCTAATGCACAGCATAAGGCAGACAGCAATATTAGGTGCAGACTAACTGAAAGCATGAACATTCATTCACACTGTTAACAGAATGGTTTCATAATCAATGGCTTTTATCTTAAATTCTGATTAAATCCAAGTGTTTATTCTTCTATAATATATGGAAACAAGTTAGTCTCCCTTTTTCTAACACAACACACTACAAATTGGCAATGGTAGGCAACCCTGCACCTGGCAGTTTACTTCAAGATCTGTGTTCATAAATATGAATTTTATTTATGATAATTATAATAATGATCTATAGTACAAAGATCTGCAATAGGGAAAAATTACAAAATTTAAAATTATTTGGTATTTTATAATGTTCCAAAACCATAGATAGAAATATAACAGCATGCTCCAAAGGAGACAAGGGTAGCTATTTGGGAAAGAAAATGAAACTTAATTTCTAAAGACATGAGAATTAACATGAGATTTTGGCTTTTTTTCGGTTCTCTTTCTTTTAAGTTATATCAATATTCAAAATAAAATCATTAAACACAATGCACAGAAGACCTGGTACTGTTCCACTGCAGAGTATTACTTATATATGCAATCTATATTAAGATACAGAATAAACATAGAAATAGGCAGGAATCTGAACAAAAAAAATGGATGGGTAGTTGAGGACTTGGGCTGGCATTAGAAGCACGGCTGGGCCACCCAGGAGAGCTGGAATCCCAGTGTTGGGACTAGTACAGCAGGTAGGAGCTATTAGAGCCCTAGGCTGGGGTGGGGGTCAGCCATACAAAAGAAAGGAGAGGAGCTCTTTGGTGATGGAACAGATGTGGGACGAAGGATTGAGATCTGTCTGTCTGCCTTTGGACACAAGAATCACTCTAAGGGGAGGGAATTCCTGTCCTCTGCCCCAAAACACCCGTTTACAGCAGGGGCTTGATGCCAAGTGTCCAGGCTGCCCCTGCTGGGCCTGGCTCTGGGTGAAGTCCTTGCCCAGCTGTAGGAATAAGAACCTGCTGCCAGGAGTGCTCCAGTTCATCAGGTAGAGTCTCAGTCCCAACTCAGGGGAGTGCTCTGGGCAGACAGGGGTTCCAGGAAGAGTATCTCATCTATCCTGCTGCAGAAGGAGCACTGGCACTGGTCCATCAAGCACATCAACATTTCAGGTTGCTGTCAGGAGTCAGATGACAGCTGATGGATACCCTGAGCTGTTCTACTGTTAATGGTTGGGTTGCAGCTCCAAGCCAGGAAGCCTCTGCACTTGCTTTTCCAGCCCCCTCAGTGATGGACAGACATGAACACTGGAGTGTTACACGCTTGTGAGCAACCCTGCTGCTTTGCTGGTCTATCAGTTGACATTCCATACAGCATCTGAGGAGTGCTCAACACCAGTAAGTTACCTTATCAGCTTCATATGTACTGAACAGATCCATCAACTACTAAAACCCCTGAACTTTTATTGGAAGCAATGGAGATTTTCCTTGAGTGGTCCAAACTGACCCGAGAGGAAATCCTCTCTACATCATTTACTATTTTGAGTACACTTGGATGCATAGTTTTGGACAATTTTGACAATAGTTTTGTGATCTCTCTGTATGCCATCAACTGAAATCCTACGAAGTTTAATTTTTAAAAAAAATTAATTCAGGACTGAGATGACTGTTAGGACCTCAATGGCAGGGCTGAAGTTCGGATGTTTTCTTTCTATTTTTGAACCTTTAGCGACTACTTTAAAAGGTGAAGCCTAAAGAGAAATTCAGTTAGGAAAAACAAAATAAACCAAATATAGCCATTTGATTTCAGAAGCTGATGTGAAACACAACAAATGGGTTAGATTACATAAATGTCAAACTTAGATTTCTTAAAATATTATGGTCGTATCAAAGGAGAAAGGTCCAGGATTAGACAATATATAAGTAGCAAAAAGATTTAAATAACCAGGGTTGTACTTTCACACAGCCCTTGCTTAATTAACAGCTCTGAATCTAATATTTTATTCACCCTGATATACTAAACATGAAATAGGAGAAATGGAAATGCCAAAAAACTTGACTACCTAAAAAAACTACCACCTAAGCTGTAAACATATAAGCAGAAGAAAAAGAAAGAGGACATAAAATAAGAATTAGTTATAAAAGATAAAAGCACATCACACATTCTTCTAACATAATAATATATCAAATCTATAATAAAATAGAATCATAATGCGGCTGCCCACATATAACAAAACCAAAACAAACAGATGATGAAATATCAGGATTTCAAAAAGATACCTCTGATCTTTCAGTTACAAGAGTACTTCAAATGTTTAGAGATTTTTAGCTTGGCAAGGAAAGCTACCAGTATAATATGCATACACATATTTTTTCAATGCTACAGTTTACTAAAACTCTTTAGTGTTAATAAATAAGTTGACAGAGCTCAGATAATTTTATGACACTTCCCCGCTACAACAAAATATTGATTTCATAATACAGTCTATGGTTTAGAAAGAAAATCAGAATGATAGCATTTTTACAATGACAAGTGAATCAATGCATTTCAAAATTATATTGACTTCTCTAAGGGCAATCAAATCATGAAGAAACAATAGTTAGCCTAGTGATTTAGCTTAATTTTCACTATTTCCTTTCACTGTAACTATGACCAGAATTTTGTCACCAGTCTTACAGAAGAACTCTTAGAGTAGCTTTTACATATTCTTAAGTACAATACACTTTAGATTTATATCTACAGCTGCTATTTAAAAATTCAGTGATCTCAGGGAAGATTCTGCCTTTAAAAGCTGCAATATAGCTCCACAACATTCTACTCCATTAGACCAGGGATACAAATATATTTTTCCTCATCAAATAAAATGTTCCTTCATGCTGGCCAAAAAACCCAGAAAGCCTACAACAAAGACAACTTGCGTGCATTTATGCGTATTAAGCAAACATTATGGATTGCTTCTTGTAATACAATATGCTGATGCTATGTTACAGTTTCAATACAATGTTCTAAGTATGCAAACTGCCAAGGAACTATAATTTTTCAAAGTATTTGGGAAGGTAACACTGGATGGGGACAGATGCTGACAGAGAGAAGTATCAGTCTTCATTCATTCTCCAAGTTTTATAATTCTAATGGCAACTGTATCTTTTGTATGTGGTCATACAAATGAGACAGAGGAATTCTCATGCATGACAACAGGACCAGTACCCATGATAGAAACTGAGTATAAAGACAAGCTCCTTAATCTGGGCTTTGTATTCAGGTCACTGTGGAGACAACAACTTGGAGATGATCTGGTACTGATGAATTAATGGTAACCCTCATTATTTTCTCAAAAATATGCTAGGCTTTGCTGTAGTGGAAATTACTATTATGGGAAGTGGGGCATGAGGCTGGTAAAAACACTACATCAGAGAGATTGACTACTAGCTAAGTATTTGATAAAGGAAGGGAAAAAAAAATCCTGTCGGCTACAGACTATTTCTTTTCACCTAATTCAGAGAAGGGTAATGATGGACATGAAAAAAATATTATCTAGCAAGAGAGAAGCACGGGGACAAAGAAGGAAGATCTTACTAATCAGCTAAAAGGAGCATTACCTTTTAAGATATCCAACCAAACAAACCCACCCTTTTAAAATTAGGTAAGGAAAAAGCAAAGCTTCTAACAAAAGCAACACATATCCACAAGGGAGAAAAAACACCAACATTTACTATTTTGTGGACTTGGCACAGCACCGCAAGACTGAGGTGATGTACTGAACAAGCTTTGAGAGGTTAAAATCAACAGGTTTTCATGATCCAAATTAATTTAATTTTCTGCACTTCCTCTCCTCTTCATCCTGTAACAACCCCTTCCTGGAACTGCCACACTACTGATGCACACTAGTTGAAAACAGAGGTAAAGAAGTTTTCTTTGTCAACAGCCTGTAGGCTCACAAAATTGAACCTGTTCTTTTATCTGCCTATGTTCATTTAGCCCACCAAGCAGTCTTTATTAAAGCTGAGGCATCAGGCAGTCAAAGTTCATTAATACCATTTATATAATCTCTGCAGTTTCAATTAACTCAGCAAGACATTCTACTACATGATAACAGTCTCATTAATTCAATAAAATCCCATAACTATTAACAATATGGTCTATGTTAAACGGGGTGTCACCTAGTAGAAAATAATAGCTTTAACAGCTTGTGATGAAACGCAGTGCTTTTTAAAAAAAAATTGATCTGGCTAAATATTCTATCCCTATATAGAAAGGTATTATTTCTTGGTAAGGAATCAAGAGGATTTTAAATATGAGCAGAGGGTAATTAAGTCCTTTTAAGTCATACCAAAGAGTAAAATAATTCTTCTTGTTCAATAAATGATAGACTAAATTAGCTGGAATGTGTTCTTCCATTTTCCCATCATCAGTGCTCTGGCCTATATTCACTAGAAAGAGAAGGCTGAATACTGCTAAGTATTTTTTTAGCAGCGCCCTTCAAAATATAGCTCCTAGATTTCATTTTTATTGTTCTTACACAAGACTATTTCTTGCTCACTGTTTGTCAAACATGAGAAATAATCAGTTGATAGATGTTTTATATGTTTGATAACAATATAGTCCATTTTTATGTAATCACCAAGAAATTCTTCAGAAGTAAGTGTTCCTTCAACTCACATGCCCTTTGTTTCCATGAAACAACCCTATTCCCTGGCTTGAGGACAGGGTGGTCACAGACCATGCCTGAAAGCATAGACTGCTTTATAAAAATCTTCACCTTTACTGAGTCTCTGTATTTTTGCCATGACAAATTTTCTATCTACCTAAAGTTGGCTCCTCTACAGTTCATCCTTTGTCCATGCACACAGAGTATCCCTCAGTCTGTCAGTCTCTACTCAGCCTACAGATAATTGTGTGAAGAAACAAATACAAATATACTTCAGCTGATACTCTGCATATTCGTCTTGCTATATGAATATAGCATTGTGTTTATAGTTACTTCAAAGCCTTCAGAACAAATGTTAAATTAATTAACTTACCAACTCTGTGGATGCAGACTTCGTGCAACTCAGGCTTTCTTTACCATTTTATCAAAAATAGTTTGAGCAGACTGTCCTTCAAGTAACTGTGTAAAAGTGGTATTTTGTAGCACCCTTATCCTTAACTCAAGAGGATTTTGTCAGCTGCATTGTACTTCGATACTACAAGGTTAGATAAAGACCTTTTTGCTAGCATACTTTAGCACATTGGGGGAGAACTTAAAATATTACATAAAACTTAAAATAGTAAACTATCTAAATTTCAGAAGTCACTACGCTTTTTGTTTATTCAATAACATTTTAAATCCTGCTGTGTACCTTCTTTACGTAAGCAGAGAAAGCCTTTCTTTGTTTTTTTGCTTTCTTAACCAATGACAAAGAAAAAGATGTTTATAAAGGAATTTAAAGTTAGAAAACTTAGCAACCTTAAAGAAAACAACTTACGGTACTGTGTTACGAGGAAAAAGCATATGTTATTCAATGAGCTTACTTACCAACCAGCTGACAAGCAGCTCTTTGATTACTTTAGCATTATGATACAACTTCAGATACAAGAGAGCTACATTATTGTCAAACCATATAGAAAATGTTGAGTCAATGAATGCCACCTGTACAGTATTTTCATTACCTGTTTATAAAGCAACTGCTCATTTTCTCTGGCGTAGCAGAACAGAACATCTGTAAGAATTTTCCTTACATTCTCTTGCTGGAAATACTGCATTTCAGGAAAGCTGAAAATGAAGCAATACAGCAAAAGTAAACAATAGAGTGCACAGAATGCCAGTTGCTGGTCTTCTAGAAGAAATTTTAGGAAAGAGCATCCCCCTTAGTCAGAAAGTCTGCTTTCCCACTGCTCTGCACTGTTAAATACTTCTAATGACTTCTTATATTTGTTTTGCAACCAAAATTATGAACTATGTTCTTCAATATACACCAATCTGCTACACAGGTATGATGACATCACAGTTATATTTAAATAACTAATCCCTTTTAATCCCATTAAAGCTAGACATCTGTGAAATATGCATTTCATCTGAATGAAATACAAGGGAAGAAATAGAAGAATGAATGAGAGTATGTCAGAAGATGCACATATACAAGGGTTCAATATTTCTTTAATATTTGAAAAATATTATCATTTAATGACAAGATTATTTAAATATCTTATAACTGACATGAGAACCAAAATACTAAAATCTAGTATCTCTTTCTGGTATTTGCAATACAATGCAATTAGACATTTCACTGACTTTAACAGCTATTGCAAATAAACTCCACAGTTATAAAATAATCTGGCTGGGCAAAAAGCCTAAGTGAACCAGAATGAAGTGGACGTTGTGTGAGAATAAGGAAAAAAAGCTTCTGGGAAAATCCTGTTACATACAAACTGGAAATGTGAATATTTCCAGTCTGTAATTACTGTGAAGCAACTCTCAACTGTGCATCCTACTCCTTGACTGTAGGAAGTAGGAAATAGAATAGTTATGCAGGACGCACTTAAAATTAGAATAAGTGTAAAAACAAAGGTATTTTCACTGCTACTGAAGAAGTAACTAGATGGCAAAATATGTTTCATAAAACAAACACCCCAAACTACATTGCTCTACAACTATACAGTGCAATAAGAAATAAAATCTGGAAAAGTAGAATACTAGAAAGAAAGAAATGGTAAATTTGGACAAAGAAAAACAGAAGAATACTTTAAAAAGTTAATAACGGTTGGCCTCAGGCCAGAGTGATGAAATAAAGGTTGTAGTATAGTCATTATTTTAGAATTAAATCACATGGTTTGAAGTAAGATTTCTTCAGACAAATTTCCCAGGTCTGAGCTATGATGCTGTACTTTAGACCAGATGTATTTAAGGCTATTATAAAGCCTGTCACAGAGAAACAATATAGGAAAATATAATAAATTACTTCAGATAAGACTATTAATATTGCTAATCACTGTGGTCATCTCACAGAGGTGATGACAGGCAAGCACAGAAACAGAACTAATTAAGGCTAGAAAAGTGCTTTGAAATCCTCGGATGAAAGGAGCTGAATCAAGAGCCAAGGCAGAGGAGACACCATGGCTTAAACACTGTCATGCTGCAGTCCTGAGAGAGGCACTGGGATGAGAGGTGTAACGTTTTCCTGGCACCTGGTGGAGGTAATGGTAGACCAACATTTGGAAACTTGTATGCACTTGTACTAATTACATTACTGTAAAGGAAGGACACAGCTGAGACCAAAAGTGCATTACAGCAGATGGCAATCGACATAATTTAGGGGTTTGAAGAGATTATTTCTGAAGGACTGTTATTCAGGATTGCCTTATGAAGTTTAGGAAGAGAAGACTAACAAAGAAAACTCAAAAATACACAGAGATATCTGTGAGGATCTAGTAATAGCAGAGATTGTGACAGAAAGGATAATAATGAACTCAGGAATAAGCTGCCTGAAGTATTAATTACAATAAATGTAAATAGAAGAGATCATGAGGGAACTATCAGTTCAGGATGGATTTTTATGGAAAATGTCATTTTATGATTAAAGCTGTGTTTTAGGAAATATAGTATCCTCAAATCAGCAAGATAAGAATGCTTTTCATGAACATGAGACTATTACATTTAATTACATCTCTAAGAAAGCCTGCATAAGGACATGGGAATTTTCCTAGACTGTTTTACTACAACTCTACCATTAATCAATGGTGCATTGAGGTCCCTGCTTTCTAAAAGTGAAGACCAGCGTGAGTCAGATATAGCTTTTTAAAATACTCCTTTAGCTGATTTAGGGGCCCCTGCACCAGAGGCAGCCAGAATTTGATGCAGGAATTTGAAGAAATAGGCTGGCAAACAAATAAAGGGATGCACAAAACAAATTTGGTGGCAGACAGAAATGGGGATAATAATCAATGGATTACTGTTTCTTACCAACTCTTCCACATTCTTGGGAAGGATGTAGCTGTCCAATGGCTTTTCCACTGCTGTTTTTGTATTGGAAATTTTTAAAATTACTTTTTTCTTATTTGGGGGATGGAGAGTTTGGAACCCCAGCACCCACCACTACTCATCTTGACACAGCTTCCATCATCCTAAACTGTGATTGCTAGCCCTGAAGCAGAAACGAAGTAGACCAATATATAAAAATACTACAACAAAAGAGAAGAAATCAACTTGATCTGTCTATGGGGAATGCCCCCTAGGTATTTTAGTTTCTTAAAACACCAGAGAGAGAAAGAGGGTAATAAAATCTTAGCCATTTGCAGCCCTAGATGTACACTGCAATGACAACAAGTAACCTGGTATTTTAATTTGAGTTAAATGCTTTTGTATCTGCCAATACATTGATTTCTATTCCTGCAAAATATTAAAAAAAAAAATTAAAACACTGATCACTAATGAGTTGGGACTAACTTAACAATATTCTTTCCTACTTGTAAATATTGGAAGCTGTTATTTTTATGCAACAGGCTTAAAACTGTATGTAGACATTATGGACTGGATTTCTATCACCTGACTTTAGGAAACCAAAGTTTTGGTTTTTGCTAGAAAGTCTTCTATATTCTGGTGAGCTAGAAGCCTTTTATAATTACTGAAGAAAACTGTACCTCTCCATAGTGTGATTCATCAGACAAAAACTGTATTTATGCTTCAGGAAGAGAAGATTTGTGTCCTAGAGTTCTACAGGTACACCGACTCTGAAGCATGACTAACCCACCTGTGAGTATCTAGGCTTCACAGACCCAATGACTGGGTGAGACAAGGATTCTCAAAATGCATAGAAGCAAACACTCACACATGAACAAACTTTATTCCAGTTGTCTTTAGAAAGCAAAATCCTGAAGTTTAAACCAATTTAAACCAATACCAATTTTGGGAACCTAACTAGTCACTTTTCCTGTTTATTGTTACTGCACTTCAGGGAATTCTAACAAAAGCATTATAGAGTAATTTTTTTACTGCTTTGATAGCTGGAACTCTGGTTTGCTACTCTGTGTGCAGTTAGCATCACTCTCTACAGGATTATATACTTGATGCTGTGGGATGATGGAGGACTGAACTAGATGACAAAGGATATAAAAACATTTATTAAATAAAAAACAGCAGCTAGAAAGTAGTGATTATAGAAATTGAATATAATAATTATTTTAACCTTAATAAAAAGCATTGTAAATTAATGACAAATTTTAAACTTTTAAAATTCTAACTCCAGGGATTCATTTAAAGAATGTAAATGAAAATAGAGAGTTTTTACATTCTAAAGCCACAGAATGAAGAACTTACTGCTTCTTAAAATAATTATAGTTTACAAATAGATACATAGGTATATGTAAAAATGCATATTATGTTTTATGATTAGACAAACAAGTGTACATATAAAATGCATGTAGCTGATCAAATATATTCACTGATAAATTTTGCTTCTTCATTGCTTGACTTACTTTGCTATTGATGACACAATATATACTACTATTGTTTCAAGTAGGTATTATTTTATATGTATAAATGCATAAATGAAAAATTTTTTAGTCACTATTACAGATATTAGTGAATACTACTCTGCCACTTGCCACAGTGGAGCCTGTAATTTGTGTGTATTTACATATACATTTAAATAATAGCCTTACATCCACCACAACCTCCATTGGACTTTTCATTCTCCAATTATAGTCTAGATACATATATATTTTAATCTTAGAACATCCTGAACTGTTTCCTTTAACAAACAAAAAATGCCATCTGTTGTGAGAATGCACATGAAAGTATACTCAGATTTTAATTATATATCTCATGGCAAAATACATTCAAGAATGGGTCTAGGGACGGACATGTAAAATATTTGAAAACCAGACTGTAATGATTTCTTTTGCCTGACTTGGTTCCTGTAAATGAAAATGTGTAAGCTTAGGATTTGTAAAATCTACAACTATCATCACTTTTTTCAAGTTATAAGGAAAAATATTTGCAATACAGTAAAATTTCACATGGTAGCAAACCAGTAATTGAATTTAATTACATTTACACATTACTCAATGCTTGCACTCTGAAAAGAAATATTTTCAGGAACTGAGTATTCTAACTCTAACAAGTTTCTAAACAGGCATGACCTAAGGGCCAAGAAGATGAAAACATAATCATAGTAATATCAGGACAAATTTTAAAAGGCATGTATGACAAATAAAACTAGAATAGTGATAAATAAAAATAGAACCTCACAACTTCTATACATGAGTGACATTTCCCTTACTAATTACAAACTGCTTTTTTATTATTGATTGTATTAAGTGTTGGGAATTAGGAAAGTAATCTGTTCGGTCTTTTTTTATGATCATAATTTAGTTGAAAGGCCTTTCAGTTTTTCTTATGTTCTCTTTGCTCTATACAGAAAACTACTTTAAATTTCACAAGTAGTACATCTCCTAATATCTTAATTTAGAAGAGCTTTTCTTCAATGATACCAATAAATCTCCAGGATTTAATGTTCAGCTAGATTGTCTCATCTTTTACTCCATGTAAGTTGTATTTTTATACATTTAATGTATGTTTCCACACATTCATGTTCAACAAAACTGACATTTATAGTAACCAAAGTCAAGAAAACACAACATAATATATACCACATAAAAATGCAGAATATAAATTTATATATAGAAATTTCTCTTGAAGATATACATACGTTCTCATCACATCTTGTTCAATCATTGCTCGAAGCTCTTTATCCTGGAAAAATTTATTCCAAAGACTCTGAAATAAGGAAAAATAATTGTATGAAACCAAGACTTCTACTAATACTTAAGGCTTATAAACTACATCAGCAAAGTACTGTACAAATATTAACTAATTAATCTTCAACATTCCTGGCAGACAGGGATATAAATATTTTATGGGAGATAAGGAATGGTGGTGACCAGCACAACATATCTGAGAAAGTCAGTTTGGATCAGAAATAAAAACATTCAAATTCCCGGATCCTTGTTCTTAGGCTCATAGCATTTGCTCACTGGATGGCTGCAGGTTTGTGAGTTACTTGTTTGAGTTCCAGGAAGAATATTTAGAATAGCTGAGTAAAGTCAAACTTTGAACCAGCAACTCAACTGAAAAAAATTCAGTTGTTCACACAAGGAAAAAGGTCTGTATCACTGGACTGTGCCATACTTCTTTGACAAAGATGAACTTTAACTGGAAGCTGCTGCAATATCCATAGTAAGAAATTGTTTGGGAGTAAGTTAGTTTATTTTAGTGGAGACAAAATCATATAAGGAGTGTATGATAATCAAATAACTATTATGAAAATGACATCATCCTAATCCACTCTGAAGACCAAGACTGGCCATTCTAAAAAAATTATGATAGGAAAAGCCAGAGTACTTAAAGCTCTGAAGTAGGTTTAGCTTTTTCTGTAGCTATACTTATGATTATTTTCATCCTCTCTCTTTTGTTTCCTGCCTTGCTTACAAATATGTTGTAAAAGCTAACTGGAAAGAAGTCAGAAAGTGCTGTTAATTGTATGCTCCAGAAGAGTATTGGAAACTTTATTTTTATTGCAAAGGGATGTTAACTTGATCAAAATACAGATGAAGCAAAATTTACAGCAGCCTTCTTGCAGGTTAGGTAAGTTATCAGATTGCAGCAGCACCAGTGAATGAAATACAGTACAGAGTCTGTACAATACTTCCACAATTTCTTGCCTTCATGTAAACAATTCTTTGCCATGGTGGCTTATGCTCCACAGAAAGAAAAGAGAAAGTAAATCAATACTATCTATGGGGAGGGAAGTAAAATAACAAAAAGCCATGTTAATTAGTTGCCATATTTGAAAAAAACCTAAAAAACCTAAACTTCAAAGATATTTATATCTTTGATAATGTCTTACATACAATGAGTACCTTTCTAACTCACAACGCTTTTCATGCAGCAAGACCACATTTTGGAACTCCCCTGCCCCTGCTCCCACCCTGGCCCATCAGAACAGAGGAAGCAAACAGAAGCTGCATTGCAAAAAGGAAGGAAAAATCAGGACACGAAATGTGTGCAACATTAAGTCACACCAGAGGCTCATTTGTTCTTCATTCCTATGCCTGATCTGGTCAGTGGCTTTGTTTCACAGATTAATCCCCTGCCACGTATTCTGACATGTCAACCTTTGTTTTCTATATTTGAAAGATACCACAGGCAGAAAGCAGGTTGAGCCACTGTGCATAATCACAAACTGCAGCAGAAACACTTTAAATCTTTTCCATTTGACACAACTTTCTGTCCAGCTGGATGCAAGAACAGTTTGATGATGTGCACAGTCATAACAGCTGCAGAGCTCTCTCCTTCTAAATTAAATAAGGAGCACAGTACCACTCTACAGATGAAGTATGGGCTTCTGTTTGTGGACAAAACAGGAGTCATATCACCAGAGATATCTGAGACAGTCTTTTCAGGTGTAAATGCAGCCAAACAAATTATTTTCATGGCATTAAGTTATTTTAAAAAATTGATAAAAAGGAATTTTGATGATAACAAGGGTAACATAATTAATAGAAAAGCTTAAAGATGTGTGCTATAATATACTTAAAAGCTTTCAGGTATGCCAAAATGCAGTAAAAAAAACCCGTTCAAGGCTGAACAATCTTCCACACAGAGTACTTCAGAGTTCTGTTAACAGTATTCACTTCATATTGACTGTTTGAACATTCCTTAAACTAGAGCCGCTCAATGTATAAAATAAAAAAATACAGTGATAAAAAAGCGTATCAGTTAATTATAGTCCAGCACTGGTTTTTAGTTTACCACAGCCTTTGCTGAGTTAAGCCCTGGAAGTCAGAATATCAATCTGGTTATTCAGCAGAACCTGTGGAAATAATTGTTAACACAAGTTTGTTTGGACATTTAGGAGGGAGATTTTAGCACCTACCATTTTGCCTACTTCAGCAAGAACTCAATTGTGTCAGTATGAAGAAAATGGGAATTTTAGTAGCATGTGTTGGGTTAACTTACCCCCTCATCCTGAGAGAGTGGGTTGTTGATTATCAGATCTTGCTGTCCTGCTTTCCGAGGGTTTGTAATGTGCTAGGTAAAAACAGAAAAAAAATAAAAGAATCAAATTCTCTCCTGTTATGCTATAAATGTTAATATCTATGCCAAAGTATGAGAACCTATTTTTTACTAACTTACAATTTCTTTGATCTTATTGTAAGAAGTTCTTAAGTCTGAAGTGGTTTTAATCCATTGACTTCTATCTTGCGGTAGAACGTCCAGAAACAACTATTGGCAAAACAAAATAAATCCATTAAGTTTCATCAGTTTTACATATATTTTCATATAAATCCTACCAGACAGCATAAACCACCCCAGAAAGAAAGAGAAAGCAAAGAACTATAGCATATTTCTGGTGTTAGTGCTTTCTAGTCCATAAATAAGTAGCTAGAAACAAGAGCAGTTCTACAGTGCAAAATTATGCATTACAGTCAACTGAAGCCACAAACTCAAGCTTTGCAAACTGTTCCAGCTTCACTAAAGTTGATGGTGACTTCCATGGCAGAAACAAAACAGAAAGACGGGAAAAGAAATGCATAAAACTTGAAGCTATTTATGTAACACTGATGACCTAATGTGAGGTGCTTAAAACGAACCACAAATGCAGAGCAGGAACTAAGCACTGAGGGATATACCCAATGTAAGAAATTAAACATGCCCTAGAATTCTGCAAGACAGATAAGAGAGTCCGTTTTGCAGAAAGTTCTGGAGATTGCCTACATCTCAGTTTTTTCATGTGTCTTTAAAAAAGGCTAGAAAGAAACATGCAGTGCAAAATACTATTGCATTTGAAGCAAGGAAAAACCCCAGTATCTTCTTGCTTTTTCAATGTTTTTATTTGCACATTGTAAAGTGTTAAGAAACAGTAATACTGACAAACAGAAGTACTGACAAACAAAAAATATTCCTAAATTACTAAAAAAACATTTAAAATTTCAGAACTTAACAGCAGAGCCCTAATGCATATTGGGACAAGCAAATAAATCATGCCTAATTTCTAAAATAAAACCACTCCTTGATTTAATTAGTAGACAGAGAAGGACTTGATGTTTGTGCTAGTCCAGAGCTTTGAGTTATGGCCTCCTAATTTACAGACTTAAAAAGAAGCAAACTGGTAAAACAATACAGGTGGCATATATTCATCTGTCTTCCTATAAATACATAAATATATAAAATACAGAATATTTTAATTAACTTCGAATCACAATGCTAAATACATTTTAAATTTCAAACTTTCTCTTTCTTTCATTCATATATAAGGAGAATTTAAAATTTCTTTTTATAGGTCTCTGTTGCCAAAATGATGGTTGAGAAATTCTAAGTGAGGTAATTTAAATGATTAGTATTAACACACAGTAACTCTACTAGAAAAATTCTTCTCTACTATCAGACTTAGTGCACAATAGAAGACTTGATGTCAATGCAACAAAATTTGTTTGGATTTTATAGAGTAACCTTGCTTATTACCTTGCTTTCTTTCTCTCTTCCTTCACCTGAGACTTTAAAAAAAAACAACAAAAAATTCCCAGGGAGCTGTTATGCTTTTGGAAGACCTTGCTTCCCTCTCCATCCAGTCCTTAAAAGAGGGATTGGTCTTCATTTTCTCATTTCACTGGGAAAACCAGCTAGCAGAAGCATCAGACTGATTTTAAATCAGTACCAAATTCCACAAAACCGTAATTTTTTAGACTAACTTCCTATCTATTTCCAGTGCATGACTTCCCTGCACAGATACTGAGAGGGAATGCGGCACTCAATTCTAAACATATCATCAGCACAAAGATACACTTTCCTAGGATTCTTTTGCTATTACCTGCAATTCAGCTTTAAAGCAACTTGATGTGGTTAGCAAATGTCCAATGAATTATAAAAATGAGTAGGAAAACATTGGGATGAAGTCTCTTGGAAAATTCATGATTCTTTGCATCAATAATCTTCCAGCGCATCAGGTAATGTGTTGATATATTGCAACCACAAACTGTAAATAAATATTTTCTCTTCTTACCTTCCAGCAAACACTACGGAACCTGCTGCTTCTCAGCTGCCCATTAATCCCCTTCAGCCGTATAGTTGCCAAGTAATTGTTGTTTACAAATAGTTCTTCCCATTCTTTACTGCAAAAGCAAAAAGAATGAACATTTAAACAACGAAAAAAAAAGCCTTAGCTGATTTAAGGACTATATGACACTTCACAATTTTGGATAAGCAGAGGAAAGCAACTTTTTAAAATGTATATATTTAGTTGTGTACCACTTCTAAACGCATGGCTGTTTTTTTGGACACATTTCTTCTTTGGATTTAATGAATATGTAGATCGCTATAATTATGCCAGCTACTGAAATTCATAATGTCTATGGAGGCTATTCCATTTCCTCTAAAATGTTGGTACTGCAGTTCAGTGAATAAACAAGAAAAATGAATATTAATATAAGCACATTCATGTTTCAGCTGTAGACAAAGAAGTACCTATTCCAAAAATATGCAACAGAAAAGTACACTGTTGACTGTATTAGCTCTTCACATGACGTATTTGCTTAAATGAACCTTCTTTTCTTCTTAATGTCAAGCTGGGCAGTTAAGCATCATAGAAGATGACTTTCTTTAACATTTAGTGCTATTTACTATTGAAATCACTCCTACTTCTTTCTACATGATCAGTTTTAAAATTTTAACAGGTGCTAGGAAATTTAAAAAAACATCAAAAAATTAAAAAGCCTCACTGTATAAACTGTTAAAGGCAAGCTTGAGTACCTTGCAGTACCTATGGCTGACTAGATAAACAACCTAAATATGCCTCCCAGGCATGCAGGCACCAGGGGCCTAACACCTGTGCCTCATTAATATACAAGTAAATCTGCTCTACTGGGAAACAATTGGAAATTAATTGTCCCAAACCATCTACTGAGTTTGAATAAAAGAATTAAACCTGTATTTCCTGCAACTTCTACTGAAATGAATCTCAAGAACAGTTGAGGCCATCTGATAGTCTCAGTAGCCCAAGACTTGCTTATAGAATTTCTGCAGCCACTCTAAAATAGAAAGGGCAATTTCAAGGTAAGGAGCTGGGTTATGTGCAAGGAAATGTGTTTCAGATTTATTTTCAATGCATGTCCTTAAGGTTAACATCTCCTCCTCCCCCTGTCACATGGGAGACTATTACTTCTCCCTGGGAGACCAAATGAAACCAGGAAGAGGGAAACTACTATTATGACTCCAGGCTAAGATCTCACCACATTTACTTTCCTAAGGAGGGTCACAGAGTGGGTTACACTAAATACCAGCAAACTCTGGATTTGCAAATTGCCCTAAATATATGCAAGATGAAGTTAGATAGTTTTCAGCCTTTTAAGCGGAGTTGGGAGAGTGTTTAAAAAACAGAATTGTAAGATATAGTTGCTGAGAACTGTAGAGGAATGGACTTGGCAAGCCAAGAAACAATGGCCCTCTTCCTCAGCGACAGGAGCTAGCTCATGATTCATGATTCTGAGACCAGAAATCCTGTATTTGTGAATGCACCACCTTTCAGCTAGGACCATATTCTTTTAAAAAAAGTGTTACTTCTGGGTCTTGATTATTAATTACTTTGAAAAGCGAAGGTATTCCAGGTAAGAGCAAAGATGACTGCAGCAGTGCTGGATTGCAGGGTTTAGGGCTGCCTTCAGTTTCTCCCAACAAGTACCCCCAGGTGACCAAAAGAACCGCAAGTCATTCCAATGGTATGGAGCAGCTTCCTTCACTCCTCTCACATCCCCCAATTTCCAAGTCTGAAAGACTATCTGGTCATTTTTGTCTCCTTGTCTCCCACACATCCTCACCTTCTGCAGGGAGCTGCCTACGATTGTTTACCATGATTCTGTCTCCTTTAAACACAACGTATGGTACATAGCAGACACAGCTTGAGAAAAATCTGGGCCTTTCTTTCACAGTCACTTATACTTCAGTAACTACTGTATATTATGACTATCTAAAAAACTCTCCTGTTTCTATCACATATAATATTCTTCATTTGCCATTGTAAATTTTGTAGCATCACTGGCCATTATAACTCCTGCCAAGCCGCCTCCCTAAGGCAAGCTATGTTTCAAGAGTGACACATTCCCCCGTGCACACAACAGGTCAGACTCTGAAGCTATTCACATTGTTCTGTTAGTGGATGACATTCCCACAATGTCTTTGAAAATGCCAGTGTGTCAGCTGAGTTAGCAAAAGGTTTCAACCAGTGCAACTGTGAAAAGAAAGAACAGAGAGGAAAGAAACTCTTCAGGTTATTTTTCTCACCAGCTGCTGGAAGTGATTGCTACACAGTAAGAAAGTAATTTCAACACTTCTGAAATAGTATTAGTGCAGATATTATGCCTTAAAAAAAAAAAAGTAATGCAATTCCGAACACGTTTTGAACCAAATTACTTTTAAAACCGCCAAAAGAAATTTGGCAAGATCATATCTCCTCTGCATTCCCTCTTGGCTGCTAGGATCACAAAAAAAAGTTATAAGCAACTGAAAAAGAAATTACTTGGAAGCTGGAATCTGCCTCAGTTTGAGTAGAGCTGAATGATATTTAAAATCCTTTCTGAGCAGCATTCACTAATTCATTTCTCAACTATTTTGAATGAAGACTAATAAATTAAGCTTTACAATTCTAGAGACTTTTCATAGTGGTAACAGTGTATAATATGAACAAGCAATCAACTCTAAAAACATAACATTTAAAATTATATAGCTCTACTATGTAAAATCGTATCTAAGAGTCTTGTTAACCCAGGATTGCAGGAAACCCACCGGTCAACATGAAATGAGCAATGAAGACTGGAACTCAAGTCTACCACATTCCATTTGCTTCACTGAAGTGAAGGACTTAAAGGGCTAATTGGAGCCACCTAAACTATGAATAAGCACATGCGTTTACTTTTAATCAAACTAGAAAATTAAAAGCATGATCCTGTGTTACACCACCTGTAGACTGTACAATTAAAGGTGAATGTCAATGTTAATGTTTTCTGATTATTTTGTAAATATTTTCCATTTTAGATTCTTATTGAGTATCCTGTCTAATGCACTACCGCACATATTGTAAAGTCTTCATAATGATAATAAATACATATAAGACAGACCTTGTCGTGGTTTGACACTGGCCCAATGCCAGGCATCCACAAAAACTGCTCCCTCACCCTCCCCTGCCATGGCTGGGCAGAGGAGAGGAAAAAAAAAAGAGTTAAGATAAGGACTGGGAGAAAACACTTCAAGGGCAAAACAGCCTCAACTTAAAGTTTGCAAAGTGAATTTACTACTAGCAGAGTCAGAGGAGGATAATGAGGAGTAAAAGAAGCCCTTAAAATACCTCTTTTTCCCCCAGTCCCTCACTCCTTCCCACCAACAGCACAGGGAGACAGGGGATGGGAGTTTTGGTCAGTTTGTCACCCAAGGTTTTCTTCCACTGCTCTGGGAGAGGAGCCCTTCTCCGTGAACTTCCCCATTGTGGGTCAAGTCTCACAAGCAGCAGCCCAACCACACCAGCTGCAGTGTGAATCCCTCCCACAGGTATACAGTCCTCCCAAAACTGCTGTGACATGGGTCACTCTTCTAAGGGGTGCAGTCCTACAGGAACAGGCTGCTCCAGCCTGGAAACAAGGCTCTCTCTCCACTGGGTCTCCCACTGGATCACAGCCTCCTCCAGGCATCCACCTGCTCCAGCATGGGACTCCTCCATGGGCTGTGGGTGGATCTCTGTATCCCCCATGGATCCCCATGGGCTGTGGGTGGATCTCTGCAACCCCCGTGGATCCCATGGACTGCAGAGGCACAGCTGCTTCACCATGGTCATCACCACAGCCTGCAGAGGAATCTCAACTCTGGCACCTGGAGCACCTCCTGCCCTCCTTCTCCACTGACCTTGGTGTCTCCATGTTGTTTCCCTCACATGTTCTCACCTCCTCCTCTTCTCTGACTATAAGAAAAACTGTGTGTGCCCCACTTTACTTTAACTTCCTTCTCAAATGTTATCACAGAGGCGTTACCAACATCTCTAGTTGGCCCAGCTTTGGCCAGCAGCATGTCCATCTTCAAAGCCATCAGGGGTTGGCTCTGCTGGACATGGTGGAAGCTTCCAGCAGCTTCTCACAGAAGCCACCTTTGTGACCCTACTGCTACCAATAACCAGGCCATGCCAAACTGAATGAGAAAGAAATTATTGGAGTAATAGTTCTTTAAGAAACTCAATTTCACATGCGTTATTTCTGCAGTAGCTGTCCAATGTAAAATATCTACTGGCATGAGTTAGGCTCAGTTGCATTACTTCAAAAGCGGGAAAAGTGCTCAATATGTATGGAAGAAAAAGCAGGCAAATCAATGAAGGTATTAATTCTGCAAGATTTTCATAGTTCTCATCTGCTCCTCTCCATCTTTTGAAAAATGCACTTATGTCATAACCACAAGTGTTTAAATCTCTCTGCCAGAGAATTGTATACTGGGGTCTGCTCTAAGACACACACTTTCTTTCTTATAAGAAATGAGGTTGACCTCTGAGCCATATATAGAAGTCTATTTTTCTTTCTTTTCAACGGGATGTGATTTGTGGATATGATTCTTCTTACGGCAATTACAAGCATCAGATTTTCAGATAAAGAAGCCTAAAGTTTGGAACAGAAATGTTCCTCTCAGTTGACTGTTAGCAGAGATCACAACAAGCAGGACTTTACACCAGAAAGTCTAAATAAAATTCTACATGCACTTAAATAGCATTCTTGAAAAGGTATGTGAATCTCTAAGGTCTAACATCTTAGTAAAAGCCACTGGAATACCACTATTGCTCAGCTACAGAGGAATGAGCAACTATAAACTCTTCAGAATGTACAACATCAATAATGTAACAATATGCCCAGGAAATACTCTGAAATTCAAATAGTTCCAAGAGCTTTACTGAGGCAACATTGAGCTGGTGCATGCTGGGGAGAGCTAACAAAGTCTTTCTTCCACTGACAGACAGAAGCAGAACACCTGCCTCTGGCTCTGCTGCTAAATTTCAATCTGCAGCATAATGCTAAAATCAATACATCAAGCATAGATATGTAGAAGAATGCAGTGGTAGCCCATTAAGGCTCCTTACAAAATACATACT